GCATGGTGGCACATGCCTGTGATCACACTACTTGGGAGACTGAGGCAGGAGGATCAGTGTGAGTTCAAGGATCAGATCACTGGACTACAAAGGAAGACCTTGTCTTCCTTCAAAAAAAAAAAAAAAAAAAAACCAAAACTATCAAACAGCAAAAACTAATAACAGAGTAACCACACTGTTAAGATCTAATCAATGAATTACAACCGTTTCCCACCAGCCTTCCCCACCTCCCATGCTATGGCAGGGGCCCGCGAATGGACACCAGTTCACTAAAACAGACTTTAAGCAGCCCAGGATAAAGGTTTTCTCTGCTCCTTCTCAGAGCACCTTTTGCGTATCTTATGGGACACCTGTGTGCCCAGTACAGGACATGTCAAAACTTGCCTTCTGTACATGGATTAAAATTTGTTTTTAAATTCCTACTTTACATACACACTGATCTAGTGCTTGAAATTTATTCTGACATAAATAAGCCACAGGAGGAAAGGAAGTAAGGAATGTCCTCTGCCCATTCTTTTGTGCTTTGAAGATGGGGGTCACACACATGGCCCCGGCTGGCCTCTAACTCTAACTCCCTGGCTCTGGCCATCCTCCATCCTCAGCCTCCGAGGAGCTGGGCTTACACCTGCGCCACTGCTCAGGCCTGTCCTCTGCGGTAACAGACCTCAAGGAGCCAGCTGTGTAACCCAGCCCTCAGTTCAGCAGCTCTTTCATAAAGTTGTAATGGAGAAAGAACAGACCAAGAACAGACACAGCTGCGAGTGCTGAACTCAGGGCAGTAAGAATCCATCTGGCGACACTGCTCTCTCCAAAAAGAATTCTGCAAGACACAATTCGCTCAGAAGAACTAAGATGACAGGAAAACACTAGCCAGAGAAAATGACAAAGACCCATACATTCAGAGCCAGGAGGCCAGGCCACAGCGCTTGAGGCCTAGAGAGGAAGCCATGAGGGATGCCCTACTGGGCCCAGCTGTTTTCACAATGTAGGGTACTTAAGTTTACCACCTAGCTATGAATTTAATGCCTTTTAATGTCAGCTTATATCATAATCTAAGAAGAAAACAGTAGCTTAACATTCCCCTTACCAGCCTTCCACTAATTTATTCTATTTTTGCTTTTATAATCTCCAGTATAATCACAAAATGACTAGACTGCTCATATCTACATCTCTGCCACTTTTTAAAAGAAATCTACTTTTAATTATACAAAAAAAAAAAGCAGGACACAGAAAAACATAAAAGAAGCACAATTCTAGGCATATGATAGCTCAATAAATATTTAATATTTCAGGCCTGTTTTCAAAATGCTATTTCATTATACATTCATCAGACTTGCTGGGTATGGGCCAAAAATCATTTAATGCACCAAGTAAAAATTTATAAAGCCCTTTGTATTTATTAAAGTTAAAATAACTGCTGTATTTATTTTGTAAAATAAGGTTAAGCAAAAATAAGCTTTCATCACTAGAATGTTGAACTAAAAATAAGTTTAGCACAATGTGTATATAGAGGATAATAAATATTTGTTGAATGGAAGTGGACAGATGGAGCTGAAACAATTAAAACAAATCCTTGTGCTAAAGATACAGTATACGAACCAGGACACACTTTAAAATTCTTTCAATACTAAAAAAATGAGCCATGTTTTATTAATCAAATGATTGAGCTCCAGTTAGAAAAATTTCTTCTAAACATTTCAGTGTTTCCCCCCTGCCCAACTTTTTAGCATTGAGGATCACACAATTGTCTGGGGCCAGGATTATCACCGAAAAAGAAGCAAACATTTTCCTAACCGTTAAGTCCTAATAGTCAAGTGATCACTACAGCTAGAAAGACGTGCTTTCCTGAAAATTAGTCAGATCACCAGCTTTTCGGATTTGTGTTTGACAGGAGCCGCCAAAGTTAACTTGTCGCGGATGACAGTCGGCGCATCTCTGTCTGGACCTGTTCTGAGAACCAAGTCACACTGTCCTGCGAAGACACCAGCGCCCTGGTCGCAGCCCCCGTTCCCATGTGCCTTTCACAGTAACAGTCATGGTCCACAGCACAGCAAATCGCAAAGAGAACACACGTGTCGATGAACTTAACACGCAGAACAGCAGTTAGGACCACCCCGAAGTCCTCGGAAGTTGTCTGTAGGGTGCGAGCTGGCCTCACCCTGCGGTCAGAGTCCTCCCAGCCACCAGGAGCCCAGTCCATACAGTAAGACCCCAAAATCCTAGTTTTTAAAACACTTACTAAAAATACAGAGTGAATCTAATCTTAGAGACAAGACTTGAGGATGATTCCACGGCAATTAGAAAGCACAGGGATGAAATAAAAGCTATCTAAAGTTCTAGATGATTATCCTACATGAGAATGGTTATTACCAAGTTTCAAAAGGGTTGGAACTTTTAAAAATCAGAAATAAAATCTTGCATAGTTTACAATTCAGAACTATTATAATGATGTCAATTTTTAATTACATCACAGATTCTTACATAGGGCACCTTCCTCTTAGTTGATGCTTATATTACTGATTGGCATGAAAATGATGAAAAAGACCATACAGACTGAAAAAAGGCAAACTTTGTTTCTTGAGATGGGACCTCATTGTAGCTCCAGTGGGCTTGGAATGTGTATCCTCCTGCCTCAGCCTTTCAAGTGCTGGGATTACGGGCTCGCACTACCACACCCAGCGCAAACTTCTTAGAAAGGCTGACCAACGAGTAATCCTTGTGCCAGACCCCAAGGTTGTGCCTTGCTGTGAATACCAGAGCTTCCTAGGGACACTGGAGGGAGGAAGAACACTTTCCACAGCTTACTGACTCCCCTACAAGGGTGCAGCACACACTGGAAGCTGGCCCTCGTGGCCATGTGTTCAAGCCTTGTGGATTCCGTGGCTGTTTTTTTTTTTTTTAATTTTTTTTATTTTTTTAATTAATTTTAAACATTTATTTATTTAGTGTGTGTGTGTGTGTGTGTGTGTGTGTGTGTGTGGCCAGCTCAGCCCGCTAGGGGGCAGGGCAGGCTGGCATGTGGTGCTGGGGGATCGAACCGTGGTCCCTGTGCTTTCCCAAGCTTGTTCCAAGTAGGTGCTTTAGACCACTGAGCCATCTCGCCAGCCCTCCGTGGCTGTTTAGAGAGCAGGCGTTCTAGGGAACAACCAGTGTGATGCTGGAGAACCTCGGTGGTCCTGAACTCTAGACTTACCTTTCCTGAGGGTCACATCCCAAGCAGAGCCTCCTCCTCCTCCAGAGAAGGGACCAACAGTAAATGAGGGCTTCTTATTGTGCAGCTACTTGGCAAGGAGGAAAAGGGCAGCTAGAAACCAAGGGTCCCTGAAGGGCTCAAGACCACAAGCTTGCTGAGTCCTAGTGAGATCCTGCTCTGTCCTGGGTCTGAGGAACAGCCCAACTCATGCGAGATGCAGCGGTGCCCACGCCCTCTTAGGTGCTGGGAGCCGGGGGCTCTCGTTGGGCGTCTTAGTGAAGCTTGTTGTGCACAGGGTACAGCAAGGTCATGTGTTCCGCCCCTTTGAAAGGCAACTTCTCGCTGGAATAATAGTGCACCACCTCGGGGACGCTGTCAAACACCGCACTCGTCTGGTCCAGTGTGTACTTGCTGTCTTTGGTCTGCGCCACTATGATGTGCACGCACCCCTGACTTGTCCTGTAGCAAAACAAACACGGTGGAGGGGACATGAATGGGTGAGCCAAGTCCTCCCTGAGAACGCAGCCCCAGCCAGGCTCACGGTGACCACCAGGGCCTCTGTACTCTGGGGACTGCTCCAGTGGAGCACGTGCCCGTCTCGCGACATAGCCTACAGGCAAGTCACCTTTGAGTTGCTTTTCCTTATTGCCCATGAGTCATTGGGCACAGGACCCAAAAAAGCCAAAAAAAAAAAGAGAGCCAAGTCCCTTCTGGCCCCCGACTTGGAAAACTAGCGCTTAAGCCCATACCAGAGGCCGCGAAGGTGGTTTAGCTCACCAGCCTCACTGCTGCCAGAAGGACATAGGTGAACTTTCTTTCTCTGTTTTTCTTTTTCCAAAAAGAATACATTAATAATAATAGTAACTGTCCCCCCATGTGGGAAGACCATTCCTGGTTGTGCATAATGACAGCTGGCACTGAAGGCTCACAGATCTAATCCACAAACCCCAATTTCAGGAACACAGGCGAGCTATTCCTGGTATTGTGTATCTGTGGCCTGTCCCATTCTCTGAGCCATGTTGCCCCCCACCCGCTTTTCCCCGCCAGCCTGATTGTTTCAGTGCAGGGGCTCAGCTTCCTCAGGAAGGAAATGCTGTTAGGGCTCTTGACAATGATCCTCCAGCACAACGCGCTGAACTCACAGAGCGGGGAGAATTTCCACGATACACACTCCGCCCAGCCTGCTGGGCCAAAGCACCTTCTCTGTGTGCTATTGGACAGGAGGAGGAACAGGCAAGGGATGCTTCCTCCGCCAGCACAAAAGATGGGCATTGAGACTGCAGTTGGCGTCTCCACAATCAAAGGATGCAATTTATTAAGTTCCCTAGCACTAGGGCATAAGAGGCGGCAACTGAACCAAGTGTGAGAAAGTACTGTTTTTTTTTTTTTAAATATTTATTTATTTTTATTTATTACATTTATTTATTGTGTGTGTGTGTGGCCAGCTCAGCCCACCAGGGGGCGGGTCTGGCTGGCATGTGGTGCTGGGGATCGAACCGCGGTCCCTGTGCTTTGCCAAGCTTGTTTCAAGTAGGTGCTTTAGACCACTGAGCCATCTCTCCAGCCCCGAAAGTACTGTTTTCAACAGGAATTATTTCTCTACTGAGAGTCTCCGGCAGACCAGGCATCGTCAGACAGAAACGGACTGACGCACAGATGGGGTGGACGGGTCCCTCCAGCACCACCCTGCACCATAACCACTGCTTCACTTTCTATTGTTCAAGCCAGTCCCCTTATTTTTTGGACACACTCTGTGAGCCACCTTCAAATGACACCTGTTTTATTTGTTAGTTTTGTTTTTTTGAACTCTGTAACCCAGGCTGGTCTTGAACTCATGGCGATCCTCCTGCCTCAGTCTTCCAAGTGCTGGGATTACGGATATGCTCCACTGCACCTGACATCTATTTCAACTGGCAGGGGAGGCAGCCATGGTCGCCCTCCCTGGCCCTAGAAGGCTGAAATACTTACTTGAGTGCAATGGAGTACCTGCTGTTCCCCGATTCACTATTTCGAACCAGGTACCCAGCTTCTTTGCAGGGCTGCAGACGACTCTCAGCCTCGGCCCGGCTAATGGCACCGTGATACCAGCTGAAAGGCAGGGGCGGGAGGAAGTCTTGTGACTACTGCAATATACACCAGTGTTATGGGCTGGTGAGACAGCTCAGAGGACTAAGCGCCTGCTTGGGCAAGCTCAGGTACTAGGGTTCAATCCCCGGCAATACAGACCATGCCAGCCCCACCCCGGGCACACTGAGCTGGCCACTGAGTCAGGGCACAGTGGCACACACCTATAATCCCAGTGCTGGGGAGGCTGAAAGGAGGATCACTATGAATCCAAGCTATGTAGTGAGGCCCTGGACCAAATACATAAAAAAAAAATAGTGTTATACCCCATAAGGCATTATATTAAATAAACATCTCTTAGTATAGAGAGCTATTCTCAGTCTTCATTGAGGCCTAGGAAGATTACAAATTTATATTTGTAATCCCATGAAAAGTTATTGGTGGGCTGGAGAGATAGCTCAGTGGCATAAGTGCCTGCCTGGCAAGAGCAAGGTCCTGAATTTGATTCTCAGTACCAAAAAAAAGTTATTGGAATCTTGTGAGTTATTTCCAGTCTACAGCTGCTCATGCAACCCATGGCAAGAATAAAGACACTAAGACATATTTTAGTTACGAGGAGCCGAGGGGTCCTAAGTCCAGCTACAATGATGGCTAACCAGAACCTCAACACAAGGCCGGACCTTGGCTTTATTACTTTGTGAAGAAGCTGGTAGCTTGAGGATGAGTGATTGTGAGAATGGTGGGAAGGAGGTTAGTGCTGTGAGCTGGGCTGGGCAGGAGGCCTGAAATCACCTCTGCAGTATGCAGAGGGGATCTGCAGAAAGAGTAATCTGCATAACACAACTGAGAGGCCATCTACTGTTTTAGAGTCGGTGCTTCAGCTCTGAGGTGTAATCTTTCAAGCCCCAGGAAGCCATAGCCTCTACCTCGAGGCCCAAACTCAATCCCAGCCAACAGTGCGGTGCACCAGCTCTTCGTCCCATCTGTCCTGGCTTACAATAAGGAGCAGGATGGTTCCAGGGAAACACTGCCTGCTGTCCTTAAAGACTACACATCAGCACCTCAGCTGGACCAATACGCATCGCTTAAAGCCAAGTGAAGAGATAAGGAAAAGCCCTAGCCAGCGCTGTACACGTCAGTACATGGAAATAGGGCCAGGCTCAGCCAAAATGGAGAATACTGCTCCTCTGTCAAGGAGTCTCCCTGGTGGTCCTCCACATCTTAGGCAGTAGGAAGCTCAACAGCCTGAAGTAGATGTCACTTCTCATTCAGAAGAGACAAAGTGCAACTGGGGGGATCCTGGGCCTCAAGACCTGTCTGTCACATGGGAGTGAGTCGCAGGCTGGTGTGGTTTGCTAAGTCCCGCCCTGTGAGGGAGAGGTCTCTGGAGCTGTATGCTTTCACTCACCGCACCCAGCCCAGGACTACCAGCACCAGGGGTCGTCGGGAGACTCACGGCTGCTTGTCCAGGGCCAGGCTGGGGTCCACCTTCTTCTCCCCATCACCATGGTCAGACAGGGCTGGCTTCAGGATCTTCTGGGTCCAGCTCTTCTGCCGGTGGTGCTGCCGCACTGGCTCCTCCCTGGCCGCAGGTCGCTCGGATCCTTCAAACTGGACTGGAAAGAGGACTGCATTTACTGCCGGGGCCATGGAGGCATCTGCAGCGACGCAGAAGAAAACTGCCCTGCCTGTCTCGGCTCAGCGCTCCCCTTCACCGTGAGCTCTAAATGCTGGCTGAGCTCCTGCTGCCTTCGTGGTGTCTTAGCCCTGCGCTGTGTCCCACCATAGCCGCTCTTCCTGATGATATGTACCCGCGTCACCGTTTCAGAGTATGAGAGGAAACGGTTGTAATACAATTTGCTTGACAAAGAGGAGAACTCGGCAGAATTTTGGTTTTGCTTGCAAACTCTGCATCAGGTGATGCTCATGAGTGTGGCCCTCTTTCCCAGAACTGAGGAATGAAATTCTTGAATTAAAATTTGAATTGAGGGGCGGGGAGATGGCTCAGTAGAATAAGTGCTTGCCTGGCAAGCGCAAGGTCCTGAGTTCAATCCCTGGTCCCACAAAAAAAAAAAAAAAAAAAAAAAAAAAAAAAAAAAAAAAAAAATAAAATTCTATCCTTTGGTGAAAAAAAAAAAAAAAAAAAAAAAAAATTGAATAGAATCGCTAATACCATGTATCCCAGCATGGACTCTTTTTCGTTTTGCTTTTGCATTGCTGGGAAGGGAACAGGGCCTTACACATGCCAGTCAAGTACTCTACCACTAGGCACCCTCTCCCTAGAACTGGGGATTGAACCTGGGGCCTTTGCACTGAACTATACCTCCAGCCCTTTTAAATCTTTATTTATTTATTTATTTATTTATTTATTTATTTATTTATTTTCAGTACCGGGTGCTTGCCAGGCAAACACTTATTCTACTGAGCTATCTCCCTGGCCCTTAATCTTTACTTTGAGATAAGGTCTCATGAGGCTGTCCAGCTGGCCTTGAACTTGTGATCCTCTTGCCTGAAATTCCCAAGTAAGTAGGGTTATAAGTGAATTGTCACTGCGCCTTGCTTTGCTTCAGTATGGACTTTTTGCTTTGTTTTTTTTTTTTTTTTTTTTTTTTTTTTGAGACAGGGATTCGCTCTGTAGTGCAGGCTGCCCTTAAACCTACTTACATAGGCCATGCTGGCCTTGAACTCAGTGATCCTTGTGCCTCAGCCTCCCGCGTTGCTGGGGTTACAGCATACGCCACCAGGCCTGGCTTGTATGGACCTTCTAAAAGAACTTTTACTTTAAATATTTTTTTATTTTATTGCTAGTTTTTGTTTTGTTTCTGAGAGAGTCTTGCTATGTATTCAGGCCAGCCCTGAACTCACAGTCATCTTTCTGCCTCAGCCTCCCCAGTGCTGGGATTACAGATG